GGCGATTCGAAGTCGTAAGAGTCTTACGTCTACTAATTGTTGTATTAGGTTGTCGCATAGATTTCCTGCCTCTGCATTTCTCTCTTGGATTTATTTCTTTTCAATGCGAGCAACAATAGGATATATGAGCCAAATCTATAACAGCATATTGTCATCCCTCGCAGTAGATATGAATGGCTCTGTGTAGAAATCATTGTGCGTCGTTTCACGTTTTTCCTACTATTTACTTTGTCGGAGTTTTTGAACTTGCCCGATTTATCTCCACTGATGTTTGTAATGATAGCTTTAAACACAACTTTAATGCATGTTCTGAATAAAAATTCCAAAACAAGTTATAAAAATTGGCAAGATAGCGAAATGAGTGGTGAGAAGCTTATACAGTTGAATACATATCAATCTAAATTTGAAAAATTCCCGAAGAACTCTAATCATATCATTAAGCTGAGCAAGGGTGTACAAAGCTTGAGAGATTAGTAGGAAAAAAAAATACTTTGTGTTTTGATAAATACTACGCAAAGAGTTCCAAATATCTTAATATGAGTTGTGGAATTCCAGTGTTTCTTCCTAATTTTTTCTAAAATCACCACCTTTTACTCGCTTTCCTGGTGGCACTATGAAAGCATAAAATAATTAATTTTCCATCAATTTTGTGTATGAAATTTTCGTGATGGACAACCGTTAAGAACATACTGGTCAATTTACTTAGGTGCTGTCTCTCTTTCTTGCACAAGCCATCAGAGACTAAATTGGATTTGACGAAGTTATCTCAAATCATGTAGATTTTGAATGAGTTTGATCGTTGATTATCACTTCATGGAGAACAGGACAATCTCTGTTTAAACACTCAAATCGAAACAAAGATAGTCTTATTTTAACAGGATAAGCTAAATTATTAGTTACGTCTTGGAACATCATTATCTCTTTGATGATTGCACATAGGACTTACTTGCGCATTGTTCCTCGGTGAAGTTCATAACTGGTACATGGTACACAGGTTTGAAACATCTGCAATATATAAGGGCAATGAGTGGTTCAAAAAAAGAAAACGAAGTTTACCGTTTCAGGATGACTGCGGCTAAAACAACGAAGCAAAGTGCATAGATGTAAAGTCCCAACTGAAATCAGGAATAATGAAGCAATGCAATGCCTTTGGATTACTGTAAACGGATATTCCTGGTTTTTTAAGTATGCAATTACTTCTATACTCAGTATGATTGCACAGGTTTTTGATCTAATTTGAGCACGAAACTTTTTCTTCCAGCAAAAGGAAATTGGCCAGAAAATATGACGTTTTTTTCTAGGATCTAATCAAGATGGAAACTAGAAACTCCTTACTGGAAATTGTACATACAGTCATGGGTTATGTTAATATTTCTAAACCTCACACTTTTTGCAGAACTGAGATATTTTAGCGATTTAGGAATCCGTTGCATAGATAAATGAATAATAAGACCCACTAATAAATTCGGATATTAACATAGATATTTGTAGAAAGGAAAGCATCCATTTCGATAAAGAATTTTTTTTTGTTTTTTTAAGATACTTTTATACGTTTTGTTTGCAGTTCAACTACTGGAGCTCGGTGCGAGATTTTTTTCATAGAGTGAAAAACTCAAATAGTGTCAAATTTTCTCCATTACGGTAAAGATTTCCAAGAGTCAATAAACGCTGCCTTCTCTATTATATCCAATAAAAGGTTCTTAAGACTAACGTGACGTACGGTGTGGCAGATGGAGGAATAACTGGAAGAGTCATAGTCCTCTCCGCTATCGTCCTCCTCACTACTTCTAGATCTGAAATATAGGAGTTTTACAACTCTCTGACAACTTTCGTAATTTCATATCGTGGCTCGTTTTTCATCATTGAAATAAAGAGGTCATACGGTAGCATTTTTTTAATCAAAAAATGTGAAGGTTTCTGAGACAACTTTCAAAACTTACTCCTTCTTTCTGACTGCAATAGCGACGATATTAATACGTTGGCCTGTGCTGTCAAGCAGCTCTTCCGCTTCGTTCTAGAAAAAAATACTGCGTACAAAGCAAACTTCTGTCGGAATTTCCACTATGCAGCAAAAAGGATTT